TTCCTACTGGTACCCAATCGCTGTTTCTACACACCGACACCTCTTTGCCGCCATTCTTCGTTCTCGTGTACGTCGACGACTTGGTCATTGCTACTGCTGACACTGAGGCACTCGCCCACGTGAAGTCGGAGCTGCAGAAGAGACACACGTGCACAGACATGGGTGAACTGACTAGCTATCTTGGCTTGCGGATCACCCGGGACAGAGCACAGCGAACCATTACCTTGACTCAGTCACACATGGTGCAGCAGGTCCTTCAGCGCTTCGGCTTCACGTACTCCTCGCCACAGCACACTCCTCTGCCTACTCGCCACTTGCTCTCAGCTCCACCTTCGGACGAGTCCGTAGAGCCGAGTGGTCCGTACCCAGAGCTTGTGGGCTGCCTCATGTACCTGATGACCTGCACTCGTCCTGACCTTGCCTACCCTCTTAGCATTCTGGCACGCTGTCGCTCCTGGGAGACACAGGAAGGAGCACATGGATGCCGCTAAGAGGTTGTTGCGCTACTTGTGCAGTACGTCGGGCATGGGGCTCGTGCTTGGAGGACGGGTTCGAGGTGTCCTCACTGGTCACGCAGACGCTTCCTGGGCTGACGACTTGGCTACGCAGCGGTCGTCACAGGGTTACACCGTCAGTCTTGGCTCCGGCTCTGCTTCTTGACGGTCTACCCGCTCGTCTTCTGTTCTCAGCTCCAGTTGTGAGGCTGAGATCTACGCAGGGGCCATGGCTGCACAGGAGTTACGCTGGCTCACCTACCTGCTGACCGACCTGGGAGAGCCGCCTCGTTCTCCTCCAGTTCTGTACGTCGACAACAAGGCCATGATTGCCTTGTGTCAGGAGCACAGACTGGAGCACAGAACGAAGCACATTGCTCTGCGCTACTTCCTTGCTCGAGAGTTGCAGCAGCGTGGTCAGCTTCGTCTTGCTTACGTGGCCACTCGGGCCAACACTGCTGATGTCTTCACCAAGGCACTTCAGCCTTGTGATCATCAGCGTTTCTGTACTGTTCTAGGCCTTGTGCCTACTGTGCCTCACTTGCTTACTTCTTGACTCTGCTTGTACTGTGATCTCTATACATATACCTGCATGCTTACACTTGCTAGGTTGTGATCACTGTATTGCTTGTTCTCCTTTATATAACTCTGCATGTGAACTGGCCTTGTGGCCATTTGCTTGTGCTCAGAATGCGTGGTGACGTTGTGATCTATCCTGAGCTTGCTTTGCCTCTCTTGACTGGTCTTGTGACCTCTTGTTCTCCCCCACTTTGCCTATGGGGGTGTGTCAAACTTATATGCTATAGTCTGTGTAGGCTGTAGTGGGGTAGTTCATATGGGGTACAACACTTTAGGGTTTCCTACTTGTACTCCTCATGCTGCTCAATGCAACCATTCCTCGTTCTATTCTTCACATTTCCCGTTTTCAGTTACAAAGCAGACTTTACCGTTTTGTACCTCTGTCGAAATAATGACGCAAAGCAGCGCGACTTTCTGGCGAATGTTCCTGCACGCCAAGTCTGCATGAAATCCCGTTAGTCAACCGTAATCTCGAGTGCCCCACGTGCCACTCATCACGACCGAGATATTTCTCGGTCGCGCAGGACAAAACGAACGCTGACGCGATCGTGCTTTGTCCTGCACCTGTCGAGGCGATCATGTCGCTTCGTTCTGTAGCGATCGTGCACACAGTGCACGATCGAAACAGTGAAGACACACACGCGGGCCTTGTGGGGCCACACGCGCATGTCAGGACCCCACGCGCGGGTCCTGACTTTGCGCACTTTTTTCTTGACCAGTGCGAAGTGGTCAACGGGGCTGGTCAAACAATCGAACCCCACACCAAACACACTCGACACTCACAACAGCGCTCATGAAATAACTTTAGCTTTCATGAAACACGGAACTTTCATGACTCGTCATGATCTGTCATGACTGGTCATGAACCCACAAAAAAAAACACATGATGTGAAAATGTCGAGGAATGAGATTGACTAAGGGAAAGTTGGGTACAAGTACAAACCCTAGAAAACTGTACCCCATATGTGCTACCCCACCACAGCCTACAGCAGCTATGTCATATAAATGTGACACACCCCCATAGGCAAAGTGGGGGAGAACAATGGGTCACAAGACCAGTCAAGAAAAGCAAGGCAAGCGCAGGGTGGATCACAAAGTCACCACACATTCCGAGCACAAGTTCAAGGCCAGAAGGCCAGTTTACATGCAGGATTACATATATATATAAGGCTAGACAAGCAAGAGCAGGTGTATATATATATGAAACAGTACAAACAAGGTCAAGGGGTGAGCAAGTGAGGCAAGGCAGGCACAAGACCAAGCTGAGTACAGAAGCGCTGATGATCACAAGGCGCAAGTGCCTTGGTAAAGATATCAGCAGTGTTGGCCTGAGAGGCCACGTACGCAAGACGCAGCTGACCACGCCGCTGTAGCTCACGAGCAAGGAAGTAGCGAAGAGCAATGTGCTTCGTTCTGTGCTCCAGTCTCTGCTCCCGACACAAGGCCAGCATGGCCTTGTTGTCTACGTACAGCACTGGAGGAGAACGAGGCGGCTCTCCAAGGTCAGTCAGCAGGTAGGTGAGCCAGCGAAGCTCCTGTGCAGCCATGGCTCCTGCGTAGATCTCAGCCTCACAACTGGAGCCGAGAACAGAGGACGAGCGGGTAGCCCGCCACGAAACAGAGCCGGAACCAAGGCTGAAGGTGTAACCCTGTGACGACCGCTGCGTAGCCTGGTCGTCAGCCCAAGAAGCGTCTGCGTGCCCAGTGAGGACCACTGGACTCTGCCCTCCAAGCACAAGCCCCATGCCCGACGTACTGCACAAGTAGCGCAACACCCTCTTCGCTGCAGCCATGTGCTCCGGTCTGTGTCTCCCAGGAGCAACATAGCGTGCGAGAATGCTAAGAGGGTATGCAAGGTCAGGTCGTGTGCAGGTCATCAGGTACATGAGGCAGCTAACAAGCTCTGGGTACGGGCCACTCGACTCTACGGACTCATCCGAAGGCAGAGCTGAGAGCGAGTGGCGAGTAGGCAGAGGAGTGGCCTGAGGCGAGGAGTACGTGAAGCCGAAGCGCTGAAGGACCTGCTGCACCATGTGTGACTGAGTCAGGGTAATGGTGCGGCGTGCTCTGTCCCGGGTGATCTGCAAGCCAAGGTAGCTGCGCAGTTCACCCAAGTCTGTGCACGTGTGTCTCTTCTGCAGCTCGGACTTCACGTGGGCGAGTCCAGCAGTGTCAGCTGTGGCAAAGACCAAGTCGTCAACGTACACGAGGATGTAGAACGGCGGCAAAGAAGTGTCGGTGCGCAGAAACAGCGACGGGTCGGCAGTAGAGGGAGCAAACCCAAGAGTCGCAAGGGTAGTCCTCAGTGTGTCGTGCCACTCACCTGGTGCCTGGCGGAGACCGTAGACTGGCCGCCGGAGGCTCCACTGGGTGCCAGGAGGAAAAGACCCAGTGAAGCCAGGTGGGCGACGCAGCCAGATCTCCTCGTGCAGGCTGCCCTGCAAGAAAGCAGTGCTGAAGTCAAGAGAGTGCAGCTCGTAGTCACGGTGAGCAGCTATGTGCAGCAGTACCCGAAGAGTGGTCATCTTCGGGGTGGGAGAGAAGGTCTGAAAGTAGTCAACTCCCTGCCGCTGACTGAAGCCACGAGCCACGTAACGCGCCTTGAAGACAGGCGGAGAACCCGGCGGCCGCTTCACCCTGAAAATCCACATGCCACTGACGATGTTCGCCCCAGGTGGTGGAACCTCGTCAACGTAGGTGCCTGTGGACTTCCAGGAAGCCATCTCTGCGTCCATGGCTGCCTGCCACTGAGAGGAGTAGGGACCCTCTATCGCCTCCGCGTAGGAGCGCGGAGTCGGGATGTCAAGTGCATCCGGGTCTCCCTCAGGGGTAAGCAGTACGGACACGAGATGAGGTGAAACAGCAGCCAAACATTGGAACTCCTCCTGCCTGTCCTCAAGGACGTCCGTGCCAAGGGCACACTCACCCCCGACGGACGGAGGACAGACAGACTCAGACTCAGCAACAAGACTAGCAGCGTAGTCTAGACGACAGCGAGCAGCAAAGTCGACGAGCTCAGTAACTAGGGCAGACGCAGCAGCGGACTCAAAGGAAGGGTCAGTGACAACAGTAGCAAGGAGACGCGTGACAGTAGGACTGGCAGCACGAAGAGAGTCCGACTCCGGGTCGAGAAGAGCAGGAAGAGAGGACTCAGGAGGAGAAGGCAAAGGGGCACGCAGAGGAGCAGTGGACGGACGCAGAGACATCCGGTGCGTGCCAGGGACAGGAGGAGGACGCTGACGCGAACCACGACCACTAGTGCGAGCAGCACGGACAGGCGACGCAGGGCGAGACGCAGGCTCACGACGCTCAGCAAGACCTCCAGTAGGACAAGTGTAGGGAGAAGGAGCAGGCAGTGGGGAGGCCGGCTGTAACTGTAACTATGACGGGACAGGCTGTGGACACTCTAAGGGAGGAGGAGGAACAGGAGAAGGCGGGAGACCAAGAACCTGCTCAAGGAGCGGAACGAAGTACGGTCGAGGCCGTGCAGCGACTCCAGACACAGCAGGGACAGCACCAGTACCCCAAGTGGTAGCACCAGCGTCAGCAGCACCTCCAGCTCCAGTACCTCCAGCAGCACCAGTAGCACCCCCAGCAGGACCGCCTCCAGGACCGACAGCAGTAGCCTCAGCGTCAACACCCTCAGTAGCTCCAGCTCCAGTCGGACCACGAGAAGACGCAGTAGCACCTGCTCCAGTAGTACCCGCAGGCCCAGCAGCTCCAGTACTCCCAGTACGAGCACCTCCGGGACCCGCGGCACCAGCACCCTCAGCAGCCGAAGAACCTCCAGCTCCAGCAGCACGCCTCCACCGCCGGGCAAACCACTCGCGCAGCTCCGGTGGAGAGAGTGGCTCCCGCCGAGACAAAGCACCCGGAGAACCTCCAGGCACAGTACCGCCAGACGCCACGCGAGCGGGCCCAGCTCCCTCAGGCTCCGCACCCCCAGGCTCAGCAACTCCAGGCGTAGCACCCCCAGGCTCAGCACCCCCAGGCGTAGCACCCCCAGGCTCAGCACCCCCAGTCGTAGCACCCCCAGGCTCAGCATCCCCAGTCGTAGCACCCCCAGTCGTAGCACCCCCATGCGTAGCACCCACACGCTCAGCACCCCCAGAGTCAGCACTCCCCGGCTCAGCACCCTCAGCAGCACCAGAGTCACCAGCAACCTCGACAGGCTCGACTGCGTCTACCTGGGACACACCTGAAGGGGCAGGACCCTGAGGGGGAAGGGGGTCTACCGGGGGGGGACCTGGCACAAGGAAGAGCGGTGGCGGGGGGAGGGACGGAGTGCGGTAGGGGAAGAGGCGGTAGTAGGGGACCGACTCGTCAAACGTGACGTCCTGGGAGGACAGAACACGGCGAGAGGTGGGGTGGTAGAACTGCCACCCTGGCGCGTCAGGGGGGAAGCCAAGGAAGACACAAGGAGCAGCACGAGGGGACAACTTGTCCGCAAACAGGTCGCGGACAAACGCCCGAGATCCCCAGACACGGAACGCAGACGCATCGCCAACCTTCCCCGTCCACAGCAAAGCTGGGGAGGTCTCCGGCATGGAGACCCTGGGCTGAAGGTTGATCTGATGCGCCGCGTACCGAACCGCAAACGGCCACAGAAAATGGGGGGCAGCCGCATGCATCATGGACGTACGGGCGACGTCCATGACCATGCCAATGCGGCGCTCAGCAATCCCATTTTGCTGTGGAGAGTCCGGAAGCGTGAAGGTCTGGCGGATGCCTCGTGCACGACAGTAGGCTCGCAGAAGGCCAGAGGAGAACTCTCCGCCTCTGTCAGAGTGCAGACGCAAAACAGGAAAGTCCGAGCCGAAGCTCTGCCTGAGCTGGAGACGAGCTGCGCGGATCCAGTCGATCAACACCTCAGTGACATCACCCTTGCTGCGCAAGGGGAAGACTGTGGTGTAACGCGAGCAGTCGTCAACCACCAGCAGGAAGTAGCGCTCGTGACCCTGTCCACGGACGCGGGCCGGGCCCCACACGTCCATGTGAAGCGTCTGCAGTGGGGCCTCTGTCGGAGGAAACTGGGAGGAGTGAGGGGCAGCCCGCTGCCGCCCCTCGACACAGGGGACGCAGGTAGGGGCAGGCCCCGGAGGAAGGGGAGGGAGGGACCGGGGAAGACCGGAGACAAGGACACGGGAGGCCATGCCTCGGAGACGAAGCAGGGAGGGGTGACCAAGGCGGTGGTGCCAGAGGAGAGTCTCGTGAGACAGGAGGCGACACGAGCAGGGGGCAGACTCAGGACCAGACCTGGACGCCGCAGCAAACACCTGACCCGACGCAACTACCTGACCAGACGCAGTGACTGGAGGAGACGCAGTGGTCAGTGTGTACAGGCTCGACCCCGGCCGACGTGTAAACGTGGCCAGGTGTCGGCCTGTCCGAGCGTCCGTGCAGTGGGTCACCCGCTGGCTCGCAGGAGTGAACTGGTGAACCCCCGCATCCTGTAGGTCAGCACCACTCACCAAGTTCGTAGAGAACGAGGGGAGGTAAAGACCAGACAGGGTGCCAGAGGGGGCCGCCGGACACGGGAGGACAGTGGAGAAGTGAGCAAGGACAGGACCCCCAGAGGGGTCTGCCAGAGAGACTGCAACTGGCCGACTAAGCGGAGTGAGTGTGGTGCGGTCTCGAAAGAAGGAGCGAGAAGCCCCCGAGTCAAGGGTGAAGGTGTGGGAGGCCGAAGCCGACGCAGTACCTGAGAGAGCAGACTCACCAGCACCTGAGGAAGCAGACGCACTAGCACCTAGAGCAGCAGCCTCGCTAGCACCTAGAGCAGCAGCCTCACCAGTACCTAGAGCAGCAGTCTCAATGCCCGGGTCGGGCGGAAAACACCGGTAACAGTCACCCTCATCACTAATAGTCACAGCATACATGGCAGCAAGAATAGCATCAAAGTCAAGGTCAAAGATAGCTACTCCCGCCCTAGACAGCTCGCCCCAGCGAGGGATCTCAGTGGCCTCAGGGAACTGGTGACGCCAAGCGTCCGTCAGGCGGCCAAAGCAGCGCTGGGTGGAGTGCGCACCCCCGCACGGCTCACCCGCGCGGTCGCCGGTGCGTAGGACGTAGGTGCACAGACCAGTACCCCAACCCCGCTGGCGTGCAGCGTACCACTCACGGAGCTGCTGAGGGGGGGGGATGTCCCGAGTGCGCTGCTGCTGCTGCTGCTTCTGGCGCTGACCACCACCGGAGCCAACCCTCTGCGCAGTGCCACCCCGACCAGCTCCACCTCCCCCGCCGCCGCCTCCTCCACCGCCGCCACCTCCGCCACCTCCGCTCCCACCGCCACCACCGCCTCCGCCTCCGCCTCCACTGCCGCCACCGACACCTCCACCCCCGCCACCACCCCCACCGCCACCCCCACCCCCTCCGCCGCCTCCACCGCTGCCTCCACCGCCCCCGCTAGCTCCTCCAGCGCCCCTGCCCCCCTTGCCCTTGCCAGGGCGGCGCTTCCCGCTAGGGGTAGACGCCGCACCGACCGACTCAAGACCAACGAAGTCGGCCGCAGCAGCAGAGGCAACAGAGGGCAAGAGAGGAGAGGGGGAGCACCCCTCAAAGACAGGGGAGCGCGGGTCACCACGAGAGGCTCCTACAGCGACTATGCTCTTCTCTGCTGCTAGGAGGCGCTCCTCGAGGAGGTCAACGGTGAGGGTGGTGGGGCAAACAGAGAGAAAGTGGTCCCTGACCGGGCGAAGGGTGTCAGGGAGGCGGGTGACTATGTAGTAGAGGGTGATGTACATAGGGGGGGGGTTCTTGGCGCAGAACTCAGCGGGAAGGGCAGCGCGGTAGCGAATGTCACTAGTGCGGAGGTGTGTAATGAGGTCAGCAACTGTGGGAAAAGCTGCGAGGTCAGGGAAGAGGTACGGCAGGATGAGGCGGCTAAGTGCAGCAGTGGCAGGGGAAGAGTAGCGTGCAACTACAGCGTCATACAAGGTCTTAGCACTCTTGTACTGGCTAAAGTGCGCACGCTCAGAGGTAGGCAAGTGGCGACGCACAGCAAGACGTGCAGCAGCATCGCGTGTGGCCCACTGTGAGCGAACAGTGGCGTCAGCATCAGCAGCGGGGGCAGGAGAGGCACCAGAAGTGAGGTCAAAGAGGGAGAGACCGTCTGCCCTATCGCACTGTAGGAAAAGCTGCAGGTCATCTACCCAGACGTCAAAGTCAATGGCCCGACCCTCAGCGTCAAAAGCGAGGACACTGGGGGTAGCCATGACAGCAGTAGACTGGCAGCACTAGCAGTAGGGTAAGAGCAGCGCAGTAGTAGAGGTGCTGTTCTTACCGGGCAGGCGAGACGGACCGAGGGTAGAGGACAGGGCGGCTCGGACGGCTCGGCAGCTCGTCGGCTCGGCAGCACCAGCAGCTCGGCAGCTCAGCGACTCGGCGGCTCGGGTGGCTCGGCGGCTCGGGCGGTTCGGCGGCTCGGCGGCTCGGGCGGCTCGGCGGCTCGGGCGGCTCGGCGGCTCGGGCGGTTCGGCGGCTCGGGCGGATCGGCTGCTGCAGGGGCAGCGGCGGCTGCTGCTCACAGGACGGCGGCGGCCGCTGCTGCAGCGGCGGCGGCAGTTGCTGCTACAGGGGCGGCGGCGGCCGCTCCTGCAGGGAAGGCGGCGGCCGCGGTTGCAGTGGCGGCGGGTGCTGCTGCTGGGGCGGCGGATGCTGCTGCTGCTGGGACGGCGACCGCGGCCGCTGTAGCGACTGCAGCTGCTGCTGCTGTAGAGGCGGCGACGGCGGGCCGAGAGAGGCCGCAAAGGGCGGCGGACGGGCCGTGAAGGGCAGCACGAGGGGCCGCGGAGGGCGGCGACCGGCCGTGAAGGGGGGGGCCGCGAGTGGCCGCGGAGGGCGGCGACGGGCCGTGAAGGGCGGCGCGAGGGGCCGCGGAGGGCGGCGACCGGCCGTGAAGGGGCCGCGGGTGGCCGCGGAGGGCGGCGACGGGCCGTGAAGGGCGGCTCGAGGGGCCGCGAAGGGCGGCGACGGGCCGTAGGGGGCCGTAAGGGCGGCGCGAGGGGCCGGAAGGGCGGCGCGAGGGGCCGTAAGGGCGGCACGAGAGGCCGTAAGGGCGGCTGGAAGGGCCGTCAGAGGAGCCGCTAAGGGCGACGCGAAGGGGCCGTAAGGGGCCTAGAGAGGGCGCGACGGTAGGGAGGGCACGCGGGGCGCGACTCGGGCAGGAGCGAAGCGCGCTCCGGGCAGGAAATATTTTTTTTTCGATTGGTGGGCCCTAGGAAGCGTTCCCACGAGGGAACCCGCTCTATACCATGTGAAAATGTCGAGGAATGAGATTGACTAAGGGAAAGTTGGGTACAAGTACAAACCCTAGAAAACTGTACCCCATATGTGCTACCCCACTACAGCCTACAGCAGCTATGTCATATAAATCTGACACATGAAACAAAATGCAAAAAACGAATGCGCATGGAACACATACGAAATGCATGACGCTATGCAGGCGACTGGTTGACGTGCAAAAGTGGTATTTTGCACCCAACATAATTGTGTATATGACGTTGTTTTTACATATGGATGAATAAAATCATTATAATCATCTGTTTTTTTTATGTTTAATGTTTTAATACTAAATATTGTTTGTTTCTTCATTATAAATTCATTTCGTTTGATGCTCTTATGATTAGCCTTTGTTTTTGTTTCATTGGTTAGAACCCTCATTTGTTTTTGTTTCATGGTTCCGTTTTTTGTTTCATTGGTTAGAACCCTCATTTGTTTTTTTCTCAGTAGTTGTTACCATAACAAAACGTAGTGTACTGCGCGAAAACAATTTGAGCTCGCGCGAGACTTTGTGTGCTGCTCATGAGGTCAGTAGTGTCAGGGGCTTGTCACGCGTGATATTTGGGGTGGGGTGGTGGGGATTAGGGGTGGTGTTGATTTAGAATGCCCACTAGGCGACTTTGGTTTAAATCTGATTCCCTGAGCATGAAATCCGATATTTTAGGCACCAGTGGCAACTGTCGCATATGTTCACGTGAAAACTGTCGACACTGCTCAAGGCAGTCGTTTTGTAACTGTAAAATATGTGGTCAAATTTACTGTGACCTATAATGCTGCCACCAGGGCTCTCGATTTCAGTGTAAAATACCATTTTTTCCCTTACTGGCGGCCTATTTTTTTCAGTTACCCTTTCCCAGCAAGGGTTGTGGGATTTTTACCCTAGGCAAGAAAGTGTAGAATTTTGTTTCCCCTTTGTAAAACAGTGTGAGTGAATTTTTTCCCTGAGTGTACAGGGTACAGTTTCATTTACACTGATACTGAATTCTCGGAAGCGAGGACTTTCGAATTCGAACAAGTAGCGAAAAGGACAGGACGACCAACACACACACAATACGACAGCAACCACATGTGCAGTCCCGAGAAAATCTTCGCGTCGTGCCGCTTAACGACCGCACTGGTGGAGTTGGCAGCAAAGTTGACACTGCAACACGGAAACACGGCCAGAGCAGCATTTGACAGCTGCCAGGCTTGTCTAGTAGCGCGCCTACATCATAGTGGTGCAGGGATGCTAGCTTCGTGCTGTCCAGGGCAGCTCAAAGCAGCCATGAGGGATCACCGTGGGCCATGCCTGAACCGCGCTCCGGGGTCGTCCAAGCTTTCACGGGTGTTGGCGGGGGTTGTGCTCCCAAGGACACCCCATCTTCTTCCTCCTCCTCATACTCTCCGTGTGAGGAACACCAACGAGGGTCTCTCACAGTCTCAATTATGCCTGCCGAGCAACCTCCAGAATTGCCTGGTGGACTGCGCAATGGCCTATCAGTGCTGGGAGTTCTTCCCCGCCTTGCTGACACCTATAGCGTTCCGATCTCATTCAGCACCTGCGCTCGCTTGATGCTCAGCTTTGCTCTGCTGCCCCTGACCCCGCCCTGCTTGTCACCTGTCACCAACCTTCCCCCCCCCCTTCCTCCCCCCCCCCCCCCCCCCCCCCCTTGATGTGGATGACATTGTACCTCCTTGCCACTCGCCTCCCTAACTGCTTTGCCACCGCTCGTGAACACTTCCTCACTGGAAACCCCATGACCCTCACCATTGACCTCTTTGAGAAGAGGCTCGTTGGGGTTGAGGATCTTGCCCGCTCCCTTGCTGCTGCTTCCAGTACCGTCCTCCCCCCCATATTTGAGGGGTGTGCCCCGTCTTTCCTAGCATGGGGCTTCCAGTACCGTCCTCCCCCCCATATTTGAAGGGCCCGCGGCGGGGCCGTCCTACTGGGCGACGCAAGGGCCCGCGGGGGCTGTCCTAAGGGGCGACAGGAAGGGCACGCGGGGTCCGGCCTAGGTCGAGGTGCGTCGGGGCGGGCTAGGTCGGGCGCGACGGGCAGGCTAGGGTAAACGGGCACACTAGGGGAAACGGGTGGGCTAGGGTAGAGGCATCGGAAGCGAACGGTTCTAACCTATCAGATACCATGTCAAAAAGAGAATTCAATGAGAATGACTAGAATGTGTGCATACAAGGGTAGATATACCTAGCCCTAACCAACCTAGCAGAAAGTGTACACATAGCCTATAACAAATCTAACATATGATTTGACAGAGAGGGGACTCCAAGACACGGGAGAGGAGTAGTGCTGCGAGCGACGACTGGTCCTGAGGTGGGTTCCGCCAAAGCGACTGGGACTGGTGCTGGAAGTGGCGTAAGGTCAGTGTGGTTGCGAAAGAAGCAATGAGATGCTTCAGAATCAAGGGTGAAGGAGAGTGACGCGTCAGGACTAGTCGCACATGTACAAGCAATAGCAGAGGATCCTACACAAGAGGCATCTAGAGATCTTAGTCTAGGCACACACAAACAGTAGCATACATCACATGTCCAGAATACAAGGCACCATGAATAGCATACATTTCCATAGCAAACACCGGCAAACTACGCTAAAGCAGTTCCAACTCCGCTGCACACCCAAAGTGCTAGTGGTAGAGGCCGGAGAGGCGGCCAAAGCATCGCTCAGAGGTTTGGTCACGCCCATAGACGCGGCACTTGCGTGCACCAGACTGGAGTACGTACGTGCAAGGCCCACGGTCGCGGCTAGTGTTCCCGGGGCCGACAAAACCCCACTGCTGCTTCAGGACCCATGGCCGCTGAAACTGCTGCTGCTGAAACTGCAGCTGCTGCTGTAGCTGCTGAACCACCAAACTACCAGAACCAGCACCTCCTCCACCCGCACCACCAGCCCAAGTACCTTCTCCAGCGTCAGCATCTCCAGGCGACCCATTACCTCCACCACCTCCACCTCCTCCACCCCCACCACCCTTCTTACCACCCTTGCGGCGCGGCTGCCGACCAGATGCAGCAACCGCTGCGACTTCCGTCGAGGCAGCCTGGCTTAGCAACAGAAGCTGAGGCAACAGGGGTAGCAAGAAGGGATGGGGCACACCCCTCAAAGACGGGGTAAGTACAGTATTAGAGGCGGCGGCGATATCACGTAGACGTCCCTTGATCTCAATGAGACACGTCTCAAAGATACTGATACTGAGGGTCATAGGGTTCATAGTGAGGAAGTGATGGCGGGCAGCGACGAAGCGGTCAGAGAGGTGGGTGGCGAGGAGGTATTGCATCATATACATGGGGGGGGAGGGGGGGTGGGGGGGGGGGGGGGGGGGGGGGGGTGTGGGTTCTCAGCAAGAAGCTCGGTAGTGGCAGCAACGCAAAACCTAGAGTTGAGCAAGCGCATGTGCATGATCAAATCGGCGATAGTGCTGAACGAGGGGAGGTCGCAAAAGAGGAAGAGCAGGATGTGACGGCCTAGAGTAGTAGTGGCTGGAGTGGAATAACGAACGATAAAAGCATCCAAAAACTCCTTCCCCATCGTCATGTGGCTGAAGTTCTCCCACTTGGTCGGCGGGAGGTGGTTAACGACGGGGAGGCGTGCAGCTGCGTAGCGTGCCTTCCAGCGCATGTACTCCATGCGAGCCAGGTCATATGCCTTCTGCTGGTCCGCAGTGGCGTTAGCAGTAAGAGTTGTAGGACACAACGGGGCTAAGATCTCACCGGCGGCATGCATGGACAGGGGGCGGGTTCTGCTAGAGCTGGCTCTCCAGGTAGAGTTGAAGCACCTGCAGACACAACTGGAAATCTACTGCTCGCCCCTCAGCACCGACTAAGTCACCAAAGAAGCCGAATCTAATGGCAGGTACGACTGTGGGTGCGGCTGTAAGAACACGTTCTCTAGGAGGGCGGCACTGGCGGCACAGTCGGCTCGGGCAGTATGCTAGCACGATAGGCACGAGCGGCAAGGGCGGCTTGGGCAGCAGGCTAGCATGGGCGACACCGGTGGCAATGGTGGCAAGGGTTGCACGGGCGGAAGGCTAAAATGGGTGGCAAGGGCGACAAGGGTAGCCGGCGCGGCAGTGGCAGCAGCTAAGGGCGACGACGGTGACAGTGGCGGCAGTCACGGATGACAGTGGTGGCTAGGGCGGCAAGGGCACCAGGGGCGGCACTGGCGGCAGCTAAGGGCGGGAGCGGTGAAAGCGGCAGCAGTGGCAGCAGCTAAGGGCCGCAGCGGTGGCAACTACCGGCAGCAAGGGCGACAGCTATGGGTGGCAGTGGTGGTTGCTGCTGGCGGCGCGCGCTGCTGCAGGTGCTTGATGTTGTTGGCGTACGTGCTCCAGCAGTGCGCGCTGGTGTAGTCGTTGGCGTGTGCTTGCAAGGGAGCCGCGGCGACAGGTAGTGGCACAGGCGGCAGCAAGCGATAGCAGAGGCACAGGCGTTAGCGGGCAGCACGCGTGGCAGCGGGCGGCGGAACGAGGGAAGGGGGGGGGGGGGGGGGGGGGGGGGTGGTTGAAGGAGGAGGAGGATCGAGTGTGAGCGGCAAGGTAGCAACGTGGTGTCGCGGGGAGCACTGGCGGCAGCGGGGCAGGCAGCAGCGGGTGCAACAGTGAGAGCAGCGGCGAGCATGCGACGTGCGACTTGGACGATGGGCTTGCGAGCTAGCGAAGCGAGCGGGGCCAGCGAGGCCGCGAGTGGGGCGAAGGGATGTGCTCGCAAGGGGGGGTTGCGCAAGGGACGCAAAGGCGGGGCCAGTAGGGCCTTACGAGGGGCGCAATAGCGGGGCCAGCTAGGGTCTCGAGGGCGAGGCTAGCAAGCGACCGGCGAGGGGCCGTAAGGGGCGCGACGGCGGGGCTAGCGAGGGGCCCTACGGCAGGGCCAGCGGGGCCTTGCGGCGGGGTGACCTAGGGGCGTGTTGGGGCGACGGAGCTAGCAGGGCCAACGGGGTTGTAGGGCATCCAGGCTAAGGGCTCCACGACGCGGCCTAGGGCGATCGTGAAAGGGTGGGGGGGGGGAGGGGGGAGGGGATGGGCAACGGGGCCGCTAGGGTTGGAGCGCGACGGTAGGTGAGCT